GGTGGCGAGCTTTGCCTTGGCCATCTTATCTGTTTCCTTCAGCTGTACGTATCACGTCGTCCACAGTTCTACACATGGGTGCTACTGATTCCCACATTCGTCGTCATCACTACGGTGTCCATATTTGGTCTGTTCATACCAACAAATTCTTTAGGAGATCGGGAGGAAAAAGTAAGCATTTCCACAAGTTGCTTTCAAATCAAAGATTTCAAAGTGAATTTAAATTAAGGTGAACCTTGGTCTGACTACGCTTCTTTCATCCGCGGTCATTTTGGAGATTGTTGCTAACTCGATGCCGAAAGCGTCAGCCCTTCCACTTCTCGGTAACGACGACTTATGAAAGGCTGATTTCAAAGGTTCAGAAGAGATGATTTCCAGCCATTAGTTTTCAGGAAACTTCATTTTGGCAGAAATTTTCGTCGTAGCTGTTGGAGTGCTTTTCTCCGTACTGACACTAACACTCCATCATAGAGCCAACACTCGTCGCTGGAGACCTAAACCTTGGATGCTAAGGATCCTTGGGATGACCGTAAGTTTATTGATTATCGAAGAAGGGAGGGGGGCGGTGAAAAAGGTACCTCGCTCATGGAGCGCACTACAGCGGCTCAGAAGACGGGGTTAGTGAATACTTGAGAAATACTTGATTCTGAGCCCTCTTCTCAGTACTGACCGATGTCTGTGGGATCACAATGCTCCTCAGGGTGGTGCCCACTGTAGGTTTCTAAAATTTTCAGCCCAAAGGCTCGTTAGAGGACTAGTTGCCTCTGGAATTCATATCATCACTTAATTGTGTTGTAGGGATCAAATAAATTCATTTCGAAGAAACGCGACAGAATGAAAAGGACAAAGGCGGGAGGATCAAGCAATGAAGCGGAAAAGTGGGTTTACTCAGATCTTATTCGGTTCTTCTGGAAAGAGTAACCGTTCAGCTACCTTCGTAGCGAAGACTTGGTACTCTTCTGCGGTAAGAATGATCGCTTTCAGTGCCCCATGGTTGACTGAATTTTTGATTTCGCTGGTTGACTTGAGTTTTTTCGATGTCGTTCGAATCGCTCATGGCTATTATTGACGAGGAGACAGTTCGATCGGTTGAGGGAAATCGCTTGGCTCAAACTGTTTGATCGACTCGATTGTCTGCTTCTCATCATATTCCTCGTCACCAATTGCATCGTCACCGCTGTAGTCTGCTCTCATTAAAATCTCGTTCATCTCGTTTCGCCATTGTGACTAAACTAAATAACGAAAAAACTCTGTCATTTGCATATTCGTGCCATAAACGATTCGAAAATTGGGTCCTGGAAGCATCTTAGATTGCTTATTTATTGATATTTTGAAGCGATGGGCATGAAAGCAGCCTTGGCCATCAATGCCTAAAAGGCACGTCCCACATTTAGATGCGAAGCTTGCGACTTCCTCCGCGAGCAAGTACCTTGGTCCGCAGTGAAAGCAGTTACACCAGTCGCAGCTCAAAAGCGAGCGACGAGGGGACCAATGCCGTCGTCCGTTTCGTTGGCCCAACCCAGCTTCATTGGCTCCGCCCACCGTAATATTAGAAGACACGCTAAAGAGCTTAGGCAGGGACATTTTTGTCTAGGAAAACCAAATGAGATCAATCGCAGCGATGGGCCTTAACACCATTGTCCGGTGATATCACCCGATCATGCCCATGCTCGCCCTCTGCATGGACAGAGCCTTTCGCTTGCTGTATTTATTCGGGGCATTGTGACTATTTATTCTGTTTATTATTGGCGCACTTTCCCCGACGGGGGTCGGCGGGTGGGCATTTTCGCACTTTCCTTGCTTCCACTAGTTCTGGTTTTACAAAGTCACTCTGGTGAGACCTGTAATTTTGTTGAAGCTGGAGCAAGCTCGTCAAGCCATCATGGTAAAACCTGTCAACTCGAGAAGAGGCTGTCTAGATGGGTCGACACGTCGATGGGAAGTCGTTAAAGTGCAAAATGCCTCCCCCCCACCTCGTCGCCAAACAGCGCCATTGAATTTATTGGCATCTTGTCATCCCTACATGAATCCCACTACCCATAGCACGTGTTGCGGACTTCACCTTTGGAGGGCACACTATGCGACTAGCGTAGACGTTACAATTCCACTTTGCTACAGAGACAAAATGGCTCAACTATGGAGATAAACAGAGTTGGAAACTCCCTTGACAAGTTTGCTTTTTGACCTGGTTTCGAAAGTGCAAGATGCGAGCGAAAGAAAGGCCGAATCGCCGGCATGAAGATCGCCCCTCACACTTGCGTAAGCATCTTCTCCTTTAATAAGTGGTTGCATTACAGGGTACAGCATCGTTGGTATGAAACACAAAATTTAAGGGGAGCGGGTTCGTTAGTTATCGTCTGGGAGGAGTGGTCTATTTAGTATGGCTGGGGGAGGGGAGGGGTTCATATCTGCTTTTCAGAGATAATTTGCTGGTTGGAAAAAGCTTTTTCTCTGTTGTTGACTTTATCGCGTGATTTGTGCTGTTCAGGCTTGTATATAACCCCCCCCCCCCTTCCCCACCCCCCGTTCGACAGCAGAATGTTTGGGAAAAACTAGGAAAATTTTCGGCAATTCCGGAAGAAGTGGTAGGAAGTTGGAGAAAATCTAAAGAAGTCCCATTCCACCATGGACTATACGGGGGGGGCAGGCCCCAAAAAAAAGACATTTTCGACGAGTCACATGTCAGCAAACTTTGGCGCGTCCCAGACGGGACGTGTATACGAGTTACGGAAGATTCCCCAAGATGTTCCGCGATGAGCAGGAGCTGCGCTCGCACCCATCACCTTCATGTACACCAAAATATGAAGTCATCTCCAGTCGCAGCCTGACTGGAGAAGACCTTTGGAATTCATGTCACCTCCAAACAGCTGCGAAACTTCTAGTATGGAGTCACCCATGGATAGCTACCTGGAGACCAGTACTCTCGATCTGGAAGACCTCCATCATCGAGCAGCTCCGTCAACGTCGCTACGGTCTAGGACATCATCTTCACCTCAGTCGCCAAGGCGCCAGTTGATGGTGGGGACCGGACGTACCTGGAATGGAGAGACCGATATTTTCTTCGTGGACCCCGGACTGAAGGTGAGCGCTGGCGGTTACATCGAGCAACTCGAGAAGAATATCCTCTACATGTCGTCGCCCGTACCTTCTTGGAAACTTTGTACTGCTACAGGATTGGGTGACACCACATGGAATCAAAGGCGTTGGGAAAACTCTTGCCTACTTGGAATGGAAAGGCGTTGAGTACCTGAAGAAGGTGAATATCTAAGCAGGTCACCTGACCTAAACCCCCTCAATTACCTGGTTTGGGCGGAGTTCAATAGGGTGGTCTACAGGGCGGAGAAATCAAACGATCTCGCTGAACTCAGGCACCACATCGCGGTCGCGTGCCAGAATCTCTCATGGCGCTCCTCCAGAAGGCTGTGGGGGAGTATCGTGAAAGTATTTCCATATGCTCCTTAACTATGGTGGTAGAAATGTCGATAAGAATTTAATAGGGTCAAGGAGAAAAAGCCTTTTTTCTGCCCCCCCCTCGTATACCCCCCCCCGCTCTCCCCCCGCTCGACGGAGTGTTGGGTAAGAGGGAACCTTCCCAACACTCATTCCCCTCTCTCGGAAGGGGGGGGGCGTACTTAGATCACCATTTCACACATCACGATGCTTACACTAATGTATGCTAATTTGACTCAACTACGTAGACTGTACCCCTTTCGACAAACCTCACAGGGAGAGTCTACTTGCCTAATTTGTAGAAAACCGCTTTCTAGCTATCACTAATTTGGTAGTATTACTTGCCGCCTCCTTTAGTACATGCCTAAATCTCTGCTCTGCTCTTGCTTCGCTATCTTCACCTTCTTTCTCTCACCACATTTATCTCTTGCTTTGCTCCTCACCTGTTTCCCTCTCCGTTTACTTGTTTCCCTGAACTCTAGCTTATATTGTCTTCAGATTCCTCAGTCCCTCCATATCTCACTATTGTTTCAAATCATTGATTTTCTATTATTTTTTATTATTGAAGCTGAACGGATAGCGCACTCGCCCGGAAGCGTGAGGTGCGGGTTCGACTCCCGCCTGGGGCACGACTTTTGCCCACAACTCAGCATTCTTGTGATAACATTTTTATTATATTTTTCAATTTATTGTCTTTCACTCACTAGGCTTTAGAGCCCTCACTCCCTTAATCACGCCCTTTCCACCGACTTTGACTTTACCTTAACCTTTCCTTCTTCCAGCTTGTTCTCTTTCTTAGAAAGTTTAACATATTTGGCACATCTTTTCATCCCTTTTTTCTGTCTTGCAGTCAACAAAACGAAGGTTTCGTTGCAGGAACACCTATCAATTTCGTTGTCAACCAGTATTTTTTCCGAATTTTCCAGGCTCTCAATTTCGTTCGTTTAACGTTATAGACCTCACTTTCAGAAACCTTCCATTGCGAAAATACATTCGGCCACTGCCCCCTAGCGTGCTGAGAGCTGTTGTCAAAGTACCTCTCACCATTTACGCTTGTACTGCTGCCACGCCTCTTAGCCAAAACATCCACTGCTTTCGAAGAAGACGGTACTCAGTGGAAATCCATTTTGTCCAGTGAGGCGCCTCAACTTACAGTCGGCTATTTGGAAGACTGCTGGTCAAATTTACTTCTGATGCCATGCACAACATATCCATGTAGACGAACGAGGGAGAGATAGCCTTCGAAGAGGCATCGACTGGCACAGCTAGGGCAGCTTTTGGGACCAA